TTTAAAGTTAGTGTATTAATTATTACTTTTTATAAATTGTATTAGTATTTTATGTTTGACACTAAAGAAGAAGGTAAAAACTTAATGTTAAATCCCTGAATAAAAAAACTTAAATTTACCATACACTCATCAGATCTCTATATCAGAATTTATTGTGACCAGCAATCAGTGTTAGAGCTAGAACTTCAATAAAAGGAAAACGATGTTTGACACTACAATTAAAAATGATAACAGAATAATAATAATAACAGAAATGGACGTTTTGGATTTCTACATATTTTGTAGAATTCCAAAATATTTATTTTCCATTCTTTTCTTTTATAAATAAAAAAATGTTCATCTTAAGTATTGTTATCCTTATTAGACTATGAATAGTGAATATTAGTATTAGCAGTAATCATGGGTGTGTCCAGCTTCTTTTTTCATGGGAAGGGGAGGGAAAATAATTTTTAAGGGTTATAAAAGGCAATTCCTTAGCCATGAAGATTGGTTTGAATTTTATGCAAAGCTGCACGAGGGAAGGCAGCTAGTCATCACCACCCTCCGCCAACTCTTGGGCTACTCTTTTACCAACAAATAGTGGGATTGACCGTAACTTTATAATACCCCCATAGCTGAAAGGGCGAGCATGTTTGATGGGATGGGAATTCGGGCCAGTAACCCTCAGATTGGTACAAATTATAATATTTGAGTGTGGCTACGTTGCAACTAACGATAACTGTTTAAAATTAAAACCAAAAACTGAAAAATACATGAACTGATAAATATATTTCAGCAGTTTAGAAAATAATTTTTAAACTGAAAAAACAAGGGCCTAATGAAAATTTTAAGCAAATTTTTTTTTGGAGGCGAAGGCTAGAATTATGATTTTGTAGGGCTAAGCCCCAGCCTGACTCTGACATTCGGTGACAGTGACATTTCGCTTACTTTAGTCTTAGTCTTACTAACTTACTAAATTAGTAAATCTTAGCCTAGGCTGAGGTGTGGACCTTAGTTTAAGTTAAATTAATCATGGTATTTCTATTATTACTAGCATTATACTTACAATCGGTAATTCTAATAAGTATTATTATTAATAATTAACTTTTGTACTCGCGGGCCTACCTTTTAATTACACCCGATTTTATTTTTATTTGCTTTAACCTAGGATCTGCCATTCTCTGGAAATTTCACCGGTATACGCATACAAATACTTATTCACACTAGCCGTATTACGATTTGTAGGTAAGAACAGCGCCAAATATATTGGGTTTGCTCTTACGATACGTGTAGCGTGTCAATAACTTTTTTAAATACCTATGCAATAGTACTGCAAAGAGAATTTTATTGACAAAATACAAATAGTTTGAAATCTTGTTCGCTGTCGCTTACAATAAACAGAATTTGGTTTAAGTATTGTTTAAGACTGTTTTATTAGATAAAACAGTGTTTTTACTTATGTACAATTGGCCATTGCTTGCTGTATCAAAAATCAGTCCTTTTTTTTCACTCCAGTTTGGTTTGTTTCGGCTATTTGCACAAACCTACACTAGGACCATCTGCACTTCGCATTTCTAATTTTAAACTGATAGACTAAATGGAAAGAAGTTAGTCAACAGCACAAACCGCCAATTCTTTCTGGGCTGCTTTAATAGAATACTGGGATTTGATTGTCACACCTATAATGCACCTACAGCCTCAAAGTTTTGGGCGCAAAGCTTCTTTTTGTTGTTTTTGTAATAGCGGTACGCGGAACAGGAACCCTTGGATCCATAGTCCGTCATAATAATCATTAAGCCTTTTTTCTTAATCAGAGGAAACTTGAAATAAAGAATTACGACTTTTTATATTAAAGGAGAAATTTAATCGAATAAATGCATAGGTATTGTGCGTATTTATCGAATGATGATTTTTTTCACCCAGTAATCAATCATCAAACACGCAATAAATTTATTTTAATATATCTATAACTAATTATAGATAAACAAGTTTTATAAAAACTTGAAGACGGCTTGAATTGGTGATGAAGAAAACTTTATTATTTACAAAATTTATTATAATATTTATAATAGAGTTTTCTTCATGACCCATTCAAGTCGTCTCGAAACTTTTATTTTGCTGAAAAGTGGGCTGCTCTTCATCAAATATATAAGTTTTGTCATTCTTACACACATATTATCAAAAAATTTCTTACTTTGGAAACTGAAGAGTATTCTTGAATGTACGTAACTTTTTTTTATGTAGGCACATTATATTTAATCATTTTAAGTTAATAATAATAAGACGTTTTCATTTTAACATAACGTAACGTTTTGGGACAACATGGGAGTATTCATCCATTTCGGCTGTTCCATCTTCTAAACTAAACTAAAACTACCAATAAATAAATTTAAATAAATCTTAAAACCAGCCCTTATCATTTATATACTTAGCAAGCTTTCTCTTAAACTCACTTAAATTTACTGCCTCCACAACATCCGAAGGCCAGCCACCCTGTTAGAAAAATTAAACTGTCTTAGCTGAAGATGACTCCTGCCATGCCAAAATATATATTTGTTCCCCCTAGTCCTACTATCCTCGCTGCAACATTATCAGTTCCCTTTACAATATTAAATATATCAACCAGATCCTCCATAACTCTTCTTTTTTTCAAAAACGCAGTGTGAGGATTTTTAGAAAGCCCGGCATGGCCAGGTGGCAATATGAGGGTTGTGGGTTCGAATCCCCGTTACACCAAACATGCTCGTCCTTTCAACCGTGTGTACGTTATAATGTGACGGTCAATCCCACTATTCGTTGGTAAAAGAGTAGCCCAAGAGTTTGCGGTGGGTGTTGATGACTAGCTGTCTTACCCTGCTAAATTAGGGATGGGTATCGCAGATAGCCCTCGTGTAGCTTTGCGCGAAATCCATAACAAACAAACAGTTTTTAGAAATTTAGTTTCATCGGGGAATTTTGGCCACTTTATAAATCAGTGGTATGTTGTCATAATCGGTATAATTTATAAAAATAATGAACAACAAATATGTTTAACAACAACCCCAATTACAACATTAATTCAATCAAAAACTTTTCATTGTTTTCTACCACATGATCAATTTTCGATCCACTTTTTAATTTTTGTCAGCTATGTGAAAATTATGTAATTTATCAATTAATACTTAGTATGGTATCTTACGAACACCTTTCAAACAATTAGAAGATGGAAATGCAGAAGCTTTATAACTTTTTTTACAAAGTTGTTGAGGCAAGAAAACATATTTCAAAATCTACGCTGAATGATATTTATCAAATTCCTGTTTTTAAGGTGAACTTACCACTAAACTCTAACAATACATTTTAATGTTTTACAATAACAGTAGTCGAATGGAATAACTTTTAACTTTGTACATCATCCACTAAAGTATTATTTATTTTTATAAATAGTAACCACCTCAACCATCTTTTATTTATCAGTATTTAGCTTAAGAATAAGAATGCTAGTCTGGAGATGAAAAGTGCAAGGTTCGAGCAACGATATGTTATTGAACACGTTCCACATTTTCTGTAGTGGGGGGAATTATAATTTTGCAATCAACTTCTTTATTTGGTTAAGAAAAGCCGTGCTTCTGTTGGTCGCCTTCTCTCAGTATTTGAGCCATGGGGTACCGTTTAAATTGAAAATACTAAACACCTATTGTTCATCTATAATTTTCGAACTGCCAAACGACTTTTTAAAGTATGACATCTAAAGTTTTCACTAGCTTTTTACTCGGACTCTATAAATTTCTAATTGTATCACATCAGAATCAGGAGACTTAAACTCAAGGTGGATGAAATTTATTTAATTTTCTAAAGTGGAATCAAAAAGTTTGTTTAAGATTTTTGCTGTAAGCTTTTTCTTTCTGAAGATATTCATATTAGAATTGTTCAAAAGTTTAACCTTTTTTATGCTGTTCGTGTAGATATAAAATTCATTGATACCAGAATTGATGCTATGAGGTTAAAGACTTTTCTAGCTTTCTGACACTCAAACGTACAATATTTTAAAATTATATATAAATATAATACCTTAACAAATATACGCCAAGAGAGGGCGAGTCAATTTAAATCACAGTTGTTTTTTAAATAGTAAAGCAGAAATTTGTTGTGGTTTCCAGTTTTGACATTAGACTAAAAGTTAGTGGAATATCTAACTTTAAAGGTGAAAGTAAAAGTTTTTCATTTTATTGTAACTAAGTGTAAAAGATGCACTAGAGATATGCATGTTAAGTTAAACTTAAAATATTTATAATATATATACACGTTAATAAGTTAAGCCTAGTGGTAATGCTACGATTGAATCATTGAGTAATTCTAGAATATATTTTTTAGTCATTTGTCAGTTTACTAATGTATTACTAGTAGTACTACTACTGATAAATAATCTTAGCTGTCTGTGGAAGCATTTGCTAATAGTAGTAGCACTGACTCTTGTACTAATTTAGTTACAATGTTAAGCCTATGCTTCTTAACAAAGAAGAAATTTATAAAACATTTGTTGTTTTAAATTTAATACTCCTATTAGTATTAGTAGTAGTACACTTTTTCAAGTTCGAGACAAGTTTGTTAGGTACAAATAGTATAAGTACTGATGACTGAAGTATAATTTATAAGTTCTTGTGAGATTAAATATTTGTTTTATTTGGCTACTGCAACAGTTTTATGTTAGACTTAAACTAAGTTAGAGAATGTATAATTTATTAAATATTTTTAAACACAAGTTTAAGTTGATATACTCATTAACATGTTTTTGTAAGGGTAGTGTTAATTAAGTAAATAGCATATTGTGATTCATATTTATAGAATACAGGCATATTTTGACACCCTTTACATGTATGAATGACTGACTGAGATGGTGGGATCTTCCTCAAAGCTCCATTTTTAGTTACTTTCAAAGTAAGTGTAATTCATTTTACACACATTTCAAACTAGATTGAGAAAAAAATTTCCAAAAAACAAATAATAACAATCTTGGGCATTTCTAATCAGTGAAAGTACATCTCATTGTGAAGTTATTTACTATTTGGTGAATATAGGTAGACAGTTACATAAGAACATGATTATAAATACTTATATTTTAATGAAAATTAGAAATAATTTGGTTTGAGAATCCTTCAACAGATTTATTATCATAGTATAAATTATATATCTCAAATATATTTAAGTCAGTCATAATAGTGTTAGCAGTGTTTTTATCATAGCATATGCTTAATTTATCAGAGTTATTTGCTTATGCATTTTACATTTTAACTAGATAGTTATAGTAGAAGAATGTTCAAAATCTTTGGCTTAGGAAATTTGAAGGACTGGGACTAAGGCAATGGTGGTTATGCAGTGTTTACAGAAAGCAAGTAAACATATTTGTAAAATAAATACTTTATTGTAAGATAAAAGTCTGGACATATATGCATGTGGAGCTAGGTGGTTTAATAACTTAATAATATAATTGATTACCCATGAACAGCAATTTCACAGATTAGTGTGACGTAAACTAATTGATTAATCAAAATTATGATTAAATCAATTAATTGAAAATAATGTTTCTGGTTATTACTGTTTTTGATTGTTCTAACAATCAGAATTGTGTCTTTTGTCATGAAAATATTGAACGAAGCAAAATTAGGTTTTCCGATTATTACTATTTTCAATTATTCCAACTACCTATGTAATCAAAATATTGCTATTATGTGTGTTTGTTGTTAAGCAGAAAGCTACACAGTGGGCTGTTTATGCTATGCCCAGTTTTAAACTCTCAATTTACTTTTTTTTATTCAAGTTTGTGTAGCTCATGATTTGAGGGTATTGGGTTTCATTACCCTTGCCACCAAACTTGCCATGATTTTGTTATGGCTTTCTACCACTATCACTAATTTTAAACTACTGACTGGCAGTACCTGCTGCTAGCTCTCTGGCTACATAAGTGTTAAATAACCTTAGCCTTCAGAATCTTAATTTGTTCTTCTGTTGTTAGGGACGTACTCCTGCAGGTTTGTAAACTGAGACCATTGTGTTTAAATTGGTAATAGTACCAACAAAGATGATATGATCATTCTATACTGATGTTGTGTTTATTTGACTCTGTTTTTCCTTAATATGTTAAGTTCATACAAATGTGTGGGGGGTAGAGCAAAATAAAATTTTAGAAATGTTCTTTTTACCAAGAAGCAGTGTGTATTAACAATTATAAAGTTAACATTATTTGGCAAAGTCCATCGTTCACGAGAATTCAGAATTTCCTTTTTTCTTGTAAAAATAATGCTTCATTTTTGAGAGAAACTTGGAAGTATCAACTAAATTATTTAGTGCATGTGTGTGCAACATTTATGCAGTCCTATTGCTAGTGAAGTTTGTATTCATCTAAATGTCACATAAGTTTTCTTTCTCCTTCTTTAAATGTTTTTCTTGGGTTACAAAGATATTAGACTCACCCTCACCAACAGATAAAACATTCCTGGCTGTAGCACTGACTGCCTTATTCCCAGCATTGTGCAGGGACTCGTTAATCATGATAATCTTTTATTGAAGGTTGACAAACACATAAAAAATCTGAATCTAGGTAATATCCGACAGTGGCATTAAGTAGCGTTATGAAGATTTTAGATAGAGCCTTGTGCATTAACGAGATATGCTGTAACAGTGACGTGCTTCAGATATTGTATTATTATTGGTTTCTTACAAAGAAAAGTGAAACTATGGTACCTTCAAAGAACAATGGTAATAATATAACTCTGATGTTATTAGAAATAACCAGTTATTTTTAGTGACACTAATTGTTGTAATCGATTTTCGTAGTAGTCGAATTAATTGCCCAGCTCCAGTTGACATTATTATTCTTTACAAGCATATTACAAGTATATGTAAGAAATCTGTTTGTTTTGAAACTTAAACATTAATTGTGATATCTAACACCTTTAGCCATTTGTGAAGAAAGAATTATTTAATAGTTTTCTTGGTGTGGTCTTTTGTAATTATTGTTAATTCTTTTGTTTATGCTGAACTAGCATTTCATTTTTGGCATAGTTTGATATTGAGAAAAATGATCATATTTTGTATCTTTTAATGACATATTTCCATCTTAAGAACATTAAGTAAGGTGTGTTTTTTACACATTGACTGTGCAAGGTTTGGACCAGCACTAAATGATCTAATAATACTAAATGAGAATATTATAAGAAAATAAGTTGATTTTATTACAAGTTTTGGAAATATTGATGCAGGCTTCTGGTACAATCAACTTTTTCAATTAGTCAGAAGAATTGTTAAATTCTTTCTAAATTGGTAACGAGAAAGAATATATTTGTATGTTGTTTTTTTTTACAGTTTGGGAGATTAGTCTTTGTGTTTCTTATATTTGTAAAGCACAAGTTCATATAAAAAGTCTCAAATAACAACAATGATTTTTATGAAATGTTTTTAATTTTGTATCTTTTCAAAGTAATGTTCAGATTCTTGTATTTTTACTTTAAATTATGACCCTATCATCCAAATGTTAAATGCACTTTGTTAATTGGATATTTATTTGATTTTGCTTTTCAAAAAAAATCCTAAAGGATCTTTACAGGTTATTTTTTTCTTGTGTTTTTATAGTGTTATTAAAAATTGATTTAGATTATCAATCAAGACCTGGAAAATGTTAGACTCGCATGCTGGATTTGAAGTTTCAATTCCATCAGCTACTTTGGATGATCTTGGAAGGTAAGACAACATCTATTTTCTGTTTTGTATGTGTGTGTGTGTGTTTACATCGTAAATTAAGTCACCACAGTTGCAGTAATTATATCTTGAATATTGAAGAACTGTTTGTATAAACATAAATTGGCTTTAACAACCAGTTGTAACTTACTTGATTCAATTATGAAATTTATATTAGGAATTTATTTAAATAAAACATGCATAAATTAATTTTGGTTTTCAGTTAACTTGTCTGATATTTAAATCTGGAATTACCTTATTCAGAGCTATGGTATTATTGTCATGATTTATGTATAAATGTATTTTGTACGTGTACCTGATGGTTTTTATCAGTGATACTATGTGGTGATTCACTAGTTACAGCCTGATTAACACCATTGGTTCTTGACAGAAGTCTTGTACGTGTACCTGATGGTTTTTATCAGTGATACTACGTGGTGATTCACTAGTTACAGCTTGATTAACACCATTGGTTCTTGACAGAAGTCTTGTACGTGTACCTGATGGTTTTATCAGTGATACTACGTGGTGATTCACTAGTTACAGCCTGATTAACACCATGGGTTCTTGACAGAAGTCTTGTACGTGTACCTGATGGTTTTTATCAGTGATACTACGTGGTGATTCACTAGTTACAGCTTGATTAACACCATTGGTTCTTGACAGAATTCCCTTAAGATTCATTCTTTTAAATCTTGTTAATTAATCAACAGCTGGCACTTATGGTAAACCAATATCAAAACAACAAGAATATTAGAATCATTCAATATTTTACTAGTTAACAAGAAACCATGCTTATTCACTTGAAAAACAAAACGCCATCAACGATGTATATATAGTTTGTTATTCCATATTAACACAGGTACAAATACTTCAAACAACTTTCAGAATTAGAAAAATCAGTTTATTATTTATAGATGTATATAAAAATATTCACCCAGAAACATAGTATAAAAACAACAAATTATTATGAAACTTTGTAGAATGGATGGCAACTGTCTGTTGTAGAGGACGACATTTCAAAAGTCTTCAGCATATTTCTGAAGATGAAAGGCAGAAGACTTTCGAAACGTCATCCTCTACACTTGTGTCTCTACAAGAGGCAGTTGCTGTCCATTTTACAAAGTTTTGTCATGAATACTCTACCTAAACAATATATCGAAGAACAAATTATCAATTTCTTTTATCACTTGAACTGTGTTTTGAAGTTAATATAATGTGTTTTATATTACATGTGAGTAACCCTCTACTATATAATGTGTTTTATAATCATTATTAGCATTCTATAAAGGCTAAATATTAGTTTCATTGTGTGATTTTAACCTTTTAATGAAGTATCTTAAGAAGAATTCTTTTGTGGCAGTTCGATGAGTGATCACATAAATATAACATTTTTTAGCTTTATTATGTAAGAAACATTAATTTTTTGGACACAAGATTATAAATTTAGTAATTGAAGAAACTATAAAATGTTTCTTTTTTATCTACGTGTGTTTACCAATACCTAGTTTTAATTTTATATGGTTATTTCTCTCATTTTTAGCCGATTTATTATCAATGTACCAGAAGAGGAAAGAAATGATCTGGTCAGAATCTGTTTCCAGATTGAGTTAGCTCATTGGTTTTATCTTGACTTTTACTGTAGTGAAAACCCAAATCTTCATCAATGTAACATGAAAGAGTTTACTCGTCAAAGTATCCTTATTGTTAGCATCGTCAACTGCTTCAGTAAAACATTGTTAGCATAGAGGTAATACTTTATTTTACTGAACTCAGTAAAACTGTTAGCATACTGTTATATTACGTGTGAGTAACCCTCTACAACGTAATGTGAGCTTGTTTTATATTATGTGTGAGTAACCCTCTACTACGTAATGTGAGCTTGTTTTACATTACAAGTGAGTAACCCTCTACAACGTAATGTGAGCTTGTTTTATATTATGTGTGAGTAACCCTCTACTACGTAATGTGAGCTTGTTTTACATTACAAGTGAGTAATCCTCTACTACGTAATGTGAGCATGTTTTATATTACATGTGACTAACCCTCTACTACATAATGTGAGCATGTTTTATGTTACATGTGAGTAACCCTCTACTATGTAATGTGTTTTATATTATGTGTGAGTAACCCTCTACTACGTAATGTGAGCATGTTTTATATTACATGTGACTAACCCTCTACTACGTAATGTTTTATATTACATGTGAGTAACCCTCTACTATGTAATGTGTTTTATATTCCATGTGAGTAACCCTCTACTATGTAATGTGTTTTATATTACATGTGAGTAACCCTCTACTATATAATGTGTTTTATATTACATGCGAGTAACCCTCTACTATGTAATGTGTTTTATATTACATGTGAGTAACGCTCTACTATGTAATGTGTTTTATATTACATGTGATTAACCCTCTACTATGTAATGTGTTTTATATTACATGTGAGTAACCCTCTACTATGTAATGTGTTTTATATTACATGCGAGTAACCCTCTACTATATAATGTGTTTTATATTACATGTGAGTAACCCTCTACTATGTAATGTGTTTTATATTACATGCGAGTAACCCTCTACTATGTAATGTGTTTTATATTACATGTGAGTAACCCTCTACTATGTAATGTGTTTTATATTACATGTGATTAACCCTCTACTATGTAATGTGTTTTATATTACATGTGAGTAACGCTCTACTATGTAATGTGTTTTATATTACATGTGAGTAACCCTGTACTACATAATTTTAGCTTGTTTTATATTACACAAGTTATTACTTATAGCATTCATGTCAAATTAACTGTACTTTTCCTTAGCATTATGTAGTATTTAATCATATACCATTTTTGAAAGAACATGCCCAGAATACGGATGAAATTTTAGAGTCTTGGAAGATTTATAAAATGGCTGTTCCTACATATGGTGCTATCCTTCTTGATCAAAATATGGAATATGTAAGTATAAGTAGGTTTTTATTGTTCTATTGTAAAGTATGTGAATTGTTAAAGTTCAGTAGTATTGGCAAGCTCTACAGGAACGTCTTTCATTATTCGTTAATTTACTGTTGATCTTGATGTAAGATTTTTGTTCTTATATTGTACAGTCTGTGAATTGTTAAAGTTCAGTAGTATTGGCAGGCTCTACAGGAATGCTTCTTGTTATCTACTAATGTATTGTTGATATCTTTTTCAGGAATCGAGGGCTAACCATTCGTCATATTCCTAACATTTTTCTGTTTTATATTTAAGATTAACAGAATACTTGTGTTAATAATGCTTGGAGACGGCTTGAATGGGTAATGAAGAAAAACTTTAATATAAGTTTAACATAACAGCAAATGTACAACGTTTCAACAAGGTTTTGTTATCATCAGGTACAAGTAGCTATTATTACTCTTATTAGCATTATTAGTCTCAAAGTGGGTTCCTCGTCATTGAATTAGAATATTTGTATGTATTATAACTTGTTTTAACGTGGATCATTTCTCCTCACAGCTAGGAAGTTAAAACTACATTTTGTGGTTTTTATAAGAGTAATTTCGCTCTATGATGACAAAAGTATTAAAAAATGTGGTAATCTGTAAATAATTGCTTTCATGAACAGCCAAATGAAGAGTAACAATTTACAAAAATTACCTCAGTAAAAGAGAAGGAGTCTGTCTACACTGATTCTGATCCAAGTATTGTATTTAACACAAATATCTCCAGACAGGAGGAGTCTGTCTTCACTGATTCTTATCCAAGCCTTGTATTTAACACTTTTGTAGGTATTACTTGTCCAGAGTTATTGGGCCAAAGCCAGCTGGGGATTTCCTAAAGGGAAAGTGAATGAGGAGGAACAACCCCACGATTGTGCCGTGAGAGAGGTAAGTTTCATTTTTCCACATCTTATATAATCTATTCTATCTACGTAGTTCAGTGAATGTTGTTTATATTTCAAAATTTTCACTCTCTTCTCCTCCCTGGTGGTTTTGAGTAATTTGGAGTTTTTATGACATTAAAAATCAGGTTTTCATAGTCACAGTGAGCATAACACAGATAGTTCATTGTGTAGGAGGAAGAAAGATTCACACATATATAATGAGATAGGTGATTACATTGTTTGAAACTTGAGTTTTAAGTTTAATTGATATTCTGGAAAATCACGAATAGATGCTATAAAATCAAACATTAATACTTGTTTTGTAGAGTTAAAATCTGGTTCGTATGTAGGAGATTCATTTGTTTGTATTTTTATCATGACACGTTATTTTCAGTTTCGCAGTGTATGTGTAATATTCAACAAATGGTTTTATAATTGTCGTAGAATAAGAGGTATCAGTGTTAAAATGTGTATAGTAATGAAAAGCACTGTCAGGCTTGTTATTTGGTGGGAAATGTAAATCTTTATTTGTTATTTCCCTAATTACTACAGGAAGGAAAATATAAGTTCTATGTTACGTTAAGATACCTCCGTTAAGTTCAGTTTACTTTTGTATGCTTTAGGTCCTGGAAGAAACTGGTTTTGATATTAGTAAGCTAATAGACAAGGATGACTTCATAGAACACGTTGTTCATGATAGACTCGTCCGATTATACGTAATTACGGGAATTCCTCGCGATACCAAGTTTCAACCAAAAACTAGAAAAGAAATAAAGGTAATTTCTTAACTTTTGAATAAGTATGTATTTTTATGTTTATGTTTGGGATAAAATGATATATTAAATCAAAGTATGAGACTTATATTTTCAGAAAGAAAGAAATATATTGATCAATTGTTTTAGCCTCTATTCTTCTCAAGGAGCCTCCACTCATTTCTGGTAGCTCAGAGGTAAGTCTGAGGGATTATAACACTAAAAATTGGGTTTTTATACCCTCGCTGGCCTAAGATGTTCAGTAGCTTGAAGTTGTTGTTGACCTGAGATGTTCAGTAGCTTGAAGTTGTTGCTGATGTAAGATGTTCAGTAGCTTGAAGTTGTTGTTGACCTAAGTTCCTGTTGTTGACCTGGCATCATAATAATAATGTACAAATTGATTAGGGTTACTTTAGAATACTGAACATCATAATAATAATGTACAAATTGATTAGTGTTACTGTAGAATACTGAACATCATCATAATAATGTACAAATTGATTAGTGTTACTGTAGAATACTGAACATCATAATAATAATGTACAAATTGATTAGGGTTACTGTAGAATACTGAACATCATAATAATAATGTACAAATTGATTAGTGTTACTGTAGAATACTGAACATCATAATAATAATGTACAAATTGATTAGGGTTACTGTAGAATACTGAACATCATAATAATAATGTACAAATTGATTAGTGTTACTGTAGAATACTGAAC